CACACACACACACACACACACACCGAAGCGATACAGTGGACCCTCGACTTACAGACGGCTCGACTTACATACTTTTCGAGTTACAGACTTCTCTGGCTGCAAAATTTAGATTCAACTTGCAGCTGGAGAATCGACTTACAGACCGGAAAAAACCCAAAATGGAACAAAAATAGAATAGAAACCGCCAGTTATGGGATTAATCGGTATTCAATGCATTGTAGGTCAATGGAGATTCGACCTACAGACTTTTCGACTTGCAGACACCATTCCAATACGGATTAATTCCGTAAGTAGAGGGTCCACTGTACTTGCCATGGTGGGCAGAGTTGTATTGCATGAAAATCTGGATTTTCTCTGTGCAAGGGGGGGGCAGAATATAATTGCTAACATTTACTTCCACTCCAGCCATAGTGTTTATTTTCTTTCAGAAACAGAGCATGAAGATCTTATGGAAGAGTTGCTGTGCTGCCTCATTCAGCTGATTGTTGAGATTCCTCTTCTGTAAGTAGAAGTCATACAGCTTATAAGATTTGTGTTTCAACTAATATCTGAAGGGGTGTAATCATTATTATTCCAGGAACTCCATAGTAATAGAAGATATATTTTGCCATTTTTATAGTACTGTAATCAGCCAAAAGACAAAATTTAAATGGTATTTTCAGTGAACCAACTAACATTTGAAAGGTAAGCAGAGTGTCTTGAATATTTGAGTAGGCGTTCAAAATAATAATAATAATAAAAAAGATAAGAGGTTGTTGATATCCTTCTGGGATGCTGAACCAAAGCAGTAGGAGGACTTTAAACATAATTTGTATTCTCTTTAGGGCTGTGACTTGTCTCTCTTTCCTAGTATTATTGTGGGAAATGTTATTTACATGGAACTAAACTGCAGTCCATTGTTACTTCAGGGGTGGGGTTTATGAAATTAGACCAGGAGTAACCATCATTTTTTTCCCAAGCAAATAATCTCCAGGTAATGTGTCAGGAACTGCTTGCTAACACCGTCTGGCCATAACCAGTGGTGAGTGGGGCCAGAGTTCCCCTTGGCACAGCTATCCTTGCGTTACAATTACAGTGGACCCTTGACTTACAGACGGCTTGACTTACAGACTTTTTGAGTTACAGACTTCTCTGGCCGCAAAATTTAGGTTTGACTTGCAGACTGAGATTTGACTTACAGACCAGAAAAAAACCAAAATGGAACAAAAACGGCCTGTTACGGGATTAATCAGTTTTCAATGCACTGTAGGTCAATGGAGACTTGACTTACAGACTTTTTGACTTGAGAACCGCCTTCCAATACGGATTAAGTTCTCAAGTCAAGACCCCACTGTATCAGCACTCTATCCTGTTTCTCTTTTGTTCTTATGAGAATTGGTGGGTTGGAGGAGCCTAGTAGAAGGTGGCTGATCTTGAGAGCAAGTGACCAGAGTGGTGGTTTTTATGCTAATACCTTGTTTCCCCAAAAATAAGACCTAACCTGAAAATAAGCCCTAGTATGATTTTTCAGGATGCTCATAATATAAGCCCTGCCCCCAAAATAAGCCCCAGTTAAATGAAACCCCGCCCTCCACCCTTGTGCAGCAACCAGAAGAAGATGACATGACTGTATTTCAATAAATGTGGATTGTTGTACATGAAAAAAATAAATAAAACATCCCCTGAAAAATAAGCCCTAATGCGATCCTGTCTTATTTTTGGGGAAACATGGCAGTTGGTATCTAGCTGCTGTGCTTCCAGGAAATGAGCAAGGGTGTAGGCAAGTGTATGTGTGAACTCTCAGACCTGACTGCAGTTTAGAGGACAGAGCATCTTTCCAAAAGGCAGTACAGCATTCTGATTGCCACAATCCAAGGTTGGACCTCCCAAATATATCTACTTGCCAGACCCTCTTTATCATTTGCTTTAGGGAAACTCTAGACTCACAAAGAGAGTATGGCTTAATAAGAAGTTGACGGCATACACCAAGATCCAGGTCTATAGAGCCTGTGTCCTGAGCACACTCCTGTACTGCAGTGAGTCCTGGACCCTTTGTGCACGGCAGGAGAGGAAGCTGAACATGTTCCATATGCGTTGTCTCCAACGCATTTTTGGCATCACCTGGCAGGACAAAGTTCCAAATAGAGTAGTCCTAGAATGAGCTATTTTTAGCATGTATACATTACTGAAACAGTGACATCTATGTTGGCTCTGGCATGTCATGAAAATGGCTGATGGTTGGATTCCAAAAGATCTCCTGTATGGAGAATTATTGCAGGGAAATCGCCCCAGAGGGAGACCACAGCTGCGATACAAGGAGATCTGCAAGCGGGATCTAAAGGCCTTAGGAATAGACCTCAACAGATGGGAAAACCTGACGTCTGAGCGTTCAGCCTGGAGGCAGGCAGTGCATCATGGTCTCTTCCATTTTGAAGAGACACTTGTCCAGCAGGCAAAGAAGAAGCTGGACAGGGGACGGATTGTGTTTGTCTTCAGCGTGGAAGGGACTGTCACTCTCAAATTGGCCTTCTCAGCCACACTAGACACTGTTCCAAGTCCTCCATACAGAGCACGTTACCATAGTCTCTTGAGACCGAAGGATGCCTAACCTAAAGGGCAACTGATACTGTTTGTTGCTCATATGGGAAAGTTTCACCAGCATGTGTGTAAAATAAGTTTACCGGTTGCCATTTCTGAACCATGTATGAGGGAGGGAAGTAATGAAAACAATTTGTATCTTTGATTTATAGTGTGTAGGTATGCCTGGCAAATTTCATTTGGATTTTTCTTTTGCTTTCCCCAGAGTGTATAACAGTGCTTTAAAGACTAACAGATACATTTCAGTGTGAACCTCCATGGATTACAGTACACCTTGGGTGTACCTGTTTGGTTAAGACCATTGCTTGCAAATTCTTTTGTTAGGTTTCATAGTTCCTTTTGGAATTTGACAGGTGAGGCCCATGCCATATAAAACGTGGTGATGCTGGATAGTTGTTTTGACTTACATACTGCCCCATAATGCTAGCACTTTCTCGGGGGGGGGGGTTACAATGTAATTATGTAAGAAATGAGCTGGGTACTCATTTTGCTGACCTCAGAAAGATTGAAAGCTGAGTCAGCTCTGAGCTGGTGACCTGAATCTGTTGGGATTGAACTCAGATCATGAGCAGAGGCTTGACTGTAGTACTGCAGTTTAACCACTGTGCCATGGGGCTCACTGCAATTGTATCTCAGCCTCCTTTTTGTCGTCCAATTTGTCAGTCCTAGTAGGTGTTCCTGTTTTCTGTTACTCTTTGGTGGTGGTGATGATGATGATGAGATTGTTTCTGAAGCAGACTATGGCATTGTACTTTATCTGGCTAAGACCATATTGCGTCCTTTGCTGATTATTTCAGCAAGGGACACAATACCTGGGTGAGATAGCAGTCGTAGAAGCACCAGATGCACAAATGTGATGTAGATCTAATCAATAATCTACAAATAGTCTGTAGTATTTGTAACTTTTAATGTAGATAAGACAGATGCTTAAGTGGATAGGAGCATTCTCTGTCCAGTTGAGGTTGCTTGGTAAAACATATCTGTTTGCTGATTATCTCAGACTGGGTGCAGTGATGGAAATGCTTAAGGTAAATATTTCATTCCTCATTCTGTCTCTCAGCAGGAGTACATTTAGAGTTCTTCTTTCTGTAGCACTAAGAGGAGAGTGGCTAAGTCCTGGAATCCTCTGTCATGTTTTTCGTCTGCCATGCAATGGCAAGTGAAATAAATAAGGTGCCACAACTCTTGCTTATATTTTTGTTATACTGTACATGGTGAAACAAACTAAAACGGCCACATGACTGCATCCCCCAGATTAGCTGAAGTTCATGCTTTTCTCTTGGAGCCTTTTTTATGTTTTACATGGCTGATATCTCATTCACTTGGAAGTTAGACAGCCATTTAGCATCCTGATAAAGGCACAGCTGTTTTCTTTGGAACTCTTACTCTCATGAAACATGGTTCTGTCATCGTTACAGTAATTTTAGGGCCATTGCTGTCTACCGAACTTGCAGCATGATTTAAAGAAGTCATTCTGATTATGCAAAGAGGCATTGTTGGTACTTCCTGAAACAGTGATACTTCTGTCTGGAGCAGATTAGAGGAAATGGTGAAAGGTGAAAGGGCTGAGTAATATAGGCACTTTCATAAATCATTGTCTTTGTTGGAAGGCAGCACGGAGACAAGCGATAGCCAGTTACTCCGTCTGAAAACAGTCTGCACCCACAGTCAACCCCTATAAAAATCAATTGCCAAGATCCAGAATTCCATGGAAAAGTTCCACAAAGTTTTACGTATGTCTTTCTTGAACAGTAGTGATTTTATCTCCTCAAATAGTGCTACATAGCAAGAGATCTTTTGGGATGGGGGCAAAATCAGAAGCAATTTGTCATGTGGAATGGAGGGGACAGTTATTTACAGAATGACCAAGGGCTCCATCTCTTCTTTTATAAACTAGGATGAGTAGGGGAAGAGGAGCAGGAAAGATTTTTGTACAAGGCTGAAATTAGAACGCTGTGTGGTGTGGTAGTGGATAGAGCGATGGTCTAGGCCTACCTGGGATTGAATCCCCCCCACTTAGCCTTGGAAACTCCCTGAGGGTGTTGAACTGGTAAAAGCCACCACTTAAATATATCACTCAGGGATGTAGCATGAAGGAAACAGAAGGGTGGTCACCCTAAGTACAAAATTTTTTAGGGGGCACACCATGCTGCAGCACCTGTTCCTCGCACTCCTCTCCTTCCCTCTGGCCACTCTGATTCTTAGCTGCCAGGGGTGTAGGCCAGCCACCACCAGCACAGTCCTGGAGTAGCTCCACTACCACTTCATGGCGCACCACCCTGGGTACTTCTCCTGCCCCGCTCCCTGTGCCCCATCTCACCCACACATTGTGTGACAAAGCCAGCATGTGACCAGCACACTACAATCCTCGCCTTGTTCCAAGTGCTGGCCACCGAGCTACGCCACTGATCTCAATTATCTTGAAAGCCCTGTTAGTTAGGCATCCTTCAGTTTCAAAAGACTATGGTAACGTGCTCTGTATGGAGGACTTGAAACAGCATCTAGTGTGGCTGAGGAGGCCAATTCGAGAGTGACAATCTCTTCCACACCGAAGACAAATACAATCTGTCCCCTGTCCAGCTCCCTGATTTGGCTGCTTTCGTGACTGCTTCTTTGCCTCGGCCTGCTGGACAAGGGTTTCTTCAAATTGGGAGATGCCGTGATGCAACACCTGCCTCCAGGCTGAACGCTCATAGGTCAAGGTTTCCCATCTGTTGAGGTCCATTCCTAAGGCCTTGCTGATGTCCTTGTATCACAGCTGTGGTTGATGGTACATAACAACAGCAATAATTAAATTAGTGGTATGGGTTGTATATCTTGTGATAACCTTTTTCTCTATGGAGTTTACGTAGAAAACAATATTAATTAAACATGAGTAAAAATAAGCTCTTTCTATGAATGATGTTCATTGAAAGTAACTTGCCAGGGAGATGGCCCTTTGGGTTATAAGTGGGATTACGGTCACTAGATGAGAAATTTGGTGTATATGTGTACATGCATGTTCAATAAACTGCAGTCACCAGAAATGACATACTGTATGTATATTCTAGGACTTACCAAGCAATTCATCATATTACATCTGAATTTCTTGTTCAAGTCAAGAACAAGACAACAAAGTGTATTTTGACCAAAAAAAGAGAGTTCTCTATCAAAATTTCCAACTTTTTAATTCCATTTATGTGTGATTAAACTTTTTAAACTGTAGTTCTTCTTTATTAAATGTAATTGGTATTTCTAAATATGCATGATATATTTCAAGAGACCATAGAGGCTTTTATTTGGCTTATTGCTTATGTCCCCTGCCATCTCAGTATGTAAGTAGGTATATTTAAATATTTCACTTTAACCAGCCAGAATTATAGATGTTGTTTTAAAAAAAAAAACAGAGTAGGCTGCTCAGCATTTAAAATTATTTTACTGTGTTCAGGTACTGGAAAGTGGACATGTATCAAAATAAATCAACACTCGTAGCTCAGAATTGGGCATGTATAGAGATATGCTTTCCAGTACCTAAACCCAATAAAATAATTTAAAATGCTGAGCCATTAGAGATTTTTTTTTTTAAAAAAAATGTAAAGCCACTTTTATAAGACAAAAATGGGGTGGAATCGCAGGTGTGACCTTCTGAGTTCCAGAGATGGACACATGTGATCTCCCCCGACATCTGTAAATCGCCCACTCCTCCCTTAGCTTTTGCTATAGTGACTTTGCCTGCACCCATGTCCAGGTTAATGGGCATCTTGTTGACTCCCATCTCCCCAATTCTTGCCATCAATTCCTTCTCCTTTAAAAAGATATCTGACAAAAGCTTATAGCAGAACTCAGTCCTAAAACTAAAGACTTGTAGGAGAAACTTTTCATTTAGGATAGTTTAACGAATCTCATTTCACACCACTAATTTCTGTTTTTACGGAGCAATGTGAATGTGGGTAGGGATGGGAAATGGGCATATTGAGTGTCTGAGGTTTGTCCGAACACCGTGGAATGACTCATAAACAAGAGATCATAATTCCCTGTGGTGGCCTCTAAATGCACTCCCTTCCGTTCTGTGGAGGTGGGAGAATTAGCAAGGAGTATTTCCTGTTCTTTCCATTAAGAGGAGAATGGCAGGTCACTATTGGACGTTTGCTTTCAATTATATTTTAAAAAGTAAATTGGGAAGTTTCCCAAGCATTGCTTGATGGCCGTAACTAGTGTATTTCTTTCATGCATGTTTGCCATTAGTGGGTGTTAATTTCAGGAGTTGTGCCAGGAGGAAAGATTGTGTTCCCATTGAGCTCTTGCATTTGTACCTTGGGACCGATAACTAGATATTCAGCTCTGCTTTTCAGCATTCTAGACGGACCTATCTTCTTTAGCGACTTCTCTTTCACCTTTCTGGTGGACCCTCGGGAAGTATGGCAATCAAACCCTGTTCCTGTATTATTTGAAATTTGCAGCCCGTTCTGCAATGTTCCTAAACTACTGAACTTTAAACCCTTACTGCTTCCAGAGAAATGAATTTCCCGGATTGACATTGAAGAATAAAAAGTACCCATTGTTTGACAAGTTTATGTGCATCAGCCAATAGATCAGTGCTTTCCTATCCAGAGCCCCCTAGACCTTGTTGGAATGCAGCTCCCATAATCCCATGTGTTTGACCAATCTGGTTGAGAAAGGTGGGTTGTATAGTCCAGCAGCACTCGTGGGCCCTCCTTTAGGAACTATTGCTACAGATATTTACCTTCGAAACCATCTTTGTCCCTTTTGTTGTATAGAAAGCACTTCCTGTGAATTACCGTATTTTTCTCTGTAATACTTTTGTCTAAAATCTTTAGAATAAAAATTGAGGGTCATCTTATACATGGAAGTAAGCTGAGGCGAGAACAAAAACAAGTGGAGGGGAAAGCAGGGATCAAAGCGATCCTGCAGGGCTTTGATCCCTTTCCCTCTACACTTGCTAAGTCCCACTTAGATTTCTTACTTTTGGGTTAGAAAAGTGGGGAGCCATCTTGTACATGGGGGCGTCTTATACATGGAAAAATACAGTATATGTGGTATAGTCAGACATATACTCTTGCCATATAGTGATATAGTGTCAGAAGCAAACAAATAATGCCACAACGTATATGTGAGATGACTGCAAAGTTGAGGAATCTCTTTTAGCCTCATGGGCAAATTCAGTTACAGCAAAATTCTCAGCGGCAGCATTTCACTAGTGAGCAGGGCTATTTTTGATGGGCTCAAAAATAGTAGCACACTTTAGTTTAAAGCTCTTAGTGGCAGTCACTTAGTCTTAGGAGAGGCATTTCAACCTTTTCTTCCCCAATCCATAAACTGGAAAATCAGCATATTATGATGTCATGTAGCAAAGGGTGTGGACCCTAGGAGAAAACTTCCTCTCCATGGATGCATGCTTTTACTTTGTGAGGGAGTTTGAGTGGTGGCAGGGAAGCTGAGGACAAGAACTGCTGGATAGCTCAGTGGTTTAGGTCTCTGGCTGCGGAGCCAGAGGTTGGGAGTTTGATTCCCCCCATTGTGCCTCCTTGATAGGGGCTGGACTCAGTGATCCATAGGTCTGATATTGTATGACCCATTCATTTGGAACGTTAATGAGAGAAGTATGAATCAAGGTAAAGTGGAAACCATAAATCAAGAAATAGAATGTTTAAACATTGCAGTACCTTGTGTGAATGAACTAAAGTGGACAGGAATTGTCAAGCGGCAATGACAAACTCAACACGAAATGGTCTGATTCTAATCCTGAAGCAAGATGTAGAACAGGCAGTTAGGGGCTATAATGTAAGGTCTGTCCAATAATATCCATCAGATATCTTGGACCAACCTATCAAAATAGCCATCAATCAAGTCTATGTTTGAGCTACAGGTGCTAAGAAGAAACAAAAAGCTTTTATGCAAGCATCCAAAAGGAAACTAAAGGCACACCAAAAGAAAATGTGCTGATAATCATAAGCCGCCTAGAGTGGTCGTATAGACCAGATGGGCAGGATACAAATCAAATCAATCAATCAATCAATCAATCAATCAATCAATCAATCAATCAATCAAGTGACTGGAATGCAAAGTAAAAACAAATGAAGTTGGAGAATTTGGCCTAGAAGTTAGATGCAGAGCAAACGAACAACCCATATAATTCTGTGATAGGAGGAAAAGTAGATCGCTTGTGTAACTAATAAATTAATGATGGGAGAAAGCAACAAGGGACATCAGTGGGAGAATATGGAATAGCATCTTCTTGCCCCGGGATCTGTTTCTAAATACATCTGGGAGAAATACATCCTGTAACTTATTGATGACAGGAGCCAGAAGTTGATTTTATTCTCCCTTTAGCCAAACTTAGTGCTAAGAAATTCAGTGCAAGCATTAGGACAGAATAGAAAAAAAACACAGTCAGTGAATTAACTTGTTGGTTTTAATTAATACTATTATTATTATTTTCCTTACAGAGACATAACATACAGCATTTCTATGGAAGCTGTAACGACGCTTATTGTTTTCCTCTCCTGCCAACTTTTCCACAAGGAAATTCTGCGGGAAAGCATCGCACATAAATACCTCATGCATGGTCGATGGTATGTCAAACCACAGTGCCACTTTCTATAGAGATTGTTTTCATTACTGGGAGTATTAAATGCTCTTGCCTGCCCTGAGAATATTGCAGATGTTTGCAGTTAGCTGTGGCTTTACCTGTGATACCAAAGTGTTTCTCATGCTGGTAGTGAACAGAACTTACAACTCTAGGAAATGAGAAAATACACCATTCGTCTGTGTGAAAGAACTGCTGAGGCTGTAAAAAGAGATGCTGATGTGAAATGTAAAATATTTTGTGCAACCCCACTTTACAACCTCAGAGATTTGCGGAGATCCAAAGTGTAGATGTATTAAAAAATAATAATTTGGTGCATAAGGTGCTTCATAATAATTATTATTTCATTTCTTCTGTTGAGCCGATGTTTTGCAGTTTTCAAGGTGGCTCCTTCACGGGAGGCAAGGAGGTGAGAAACCATTCAGTGGCCCTTGGGGGCCCCTTGCAGTTTTCAGCCTGACTTTCTGTGACCTTAACGTCAAAGCTTTCTGCAAGCCAACATTTCAGACCCTCTGGCAAGAGCATTCTGACCACCAGCCCCACTGAATGGAGGGGGAGAAAAAGGAGAGGATAGAGTAGGAGAAGAGAGAAATAAGTGTCAGCATCACTTGATGCTGACACTTATAACACTGGCTTCAGCCCCAGCCTGCATAAGATCATGGACAGATTACAGTGGTGCCTCACATTACGATGTTAATTCGTTCCAGCGAAATCGCTGTAGAACGAAAACGTAATGCGAAAATAAAAAGCCCATTGAAACCTCTTCAGTACATTCCAATGGGCTGAAAACTCACCGTCCAGCGAAGATCCTCCATAGGGCGGCCATTTTCGGTGCCTGTGCAGCGAGGAATCCGTCCCAGAAAACAGCGGGGAGCCATTTTATTTACCCGGCGGCCATTTTGAAACCGCAGATCAGCTGTCCGAAAATCGTCGTTTTGCGAAGAATCGGTTCCCGATGCAGGGAACCGATCATCGCAAAGCGAAACAAGCCCATTCAGACCATCGTTTTGCAATCGCAAAAGCGATCGCAAAAATGTTGTCGTAATGCGGTTTCGTTGTAATGCGGGGCAATCGTAAAGCAGGCCACGACTGTATACCTGGAGGCATGTGGACCAAACAGACAAAAGTTTGCCCAGCAGTGGGTTACGAGGTGGCGACTTGCCAGTTGTGCTGTCAGTGGCTAAACATTCACATGCTCTCTGAGTTCTGTGGGTTGCTTCAAGAAAGGAGAAATCCCGCTTTGAAGTTGAATACCAGTAGAAATAGAACAGGTTGTCTTTTCTTTCCTTCCTGTTGTGACTGCCATTACTGTGTGCTTATTAGTCCCCCAAAACAAGAAACAGTGAGGTCTTTTATGTAATTCTGTAGAACTCTGTTGTCTGTCCTAGTAAAGACGATCGTGCGAATTTAAAATTCAAAGTTTGTTCCAGTGCTCTTACGCGCCAACTTTCTCTCTTTCAGTCTCCCCTACGTTAGCAGACTTGTGAAAACTTTGCTGTACAATTTCATCAGACAAGAAAAAAGCCCTCCCCCGGGTAGCCACGTTTTTCAGCCAGAGTCAGATGGAGGAGGACTGCTTTATGGAATAGCATCAGGAGTAGCAAGTGAGTCTTCCTTTTTCCAGCACATCCTGTGTCTGTGCCTGATGTAATTTAAGGCTTGGTGGGGGGTAATTTGCTTTTCTGGAGGAATGAACAACAAAAAAAAAAAGATACCAGCAGCAGTAGGGAAAAACAGAAGCAAAATGCAACTTAAGCTGTTCTAAGTGAAAGGGATTGTGCTGTACATTTTAATAAGTCTCGGAGAAAACCTGCTAATAATTCCACAGCCATGGGTGTGTGAGTATAAGATGAAACTGTTGCTCTCTATTTTTCCAGTTAATTTTTTACATGGGTTCTTCTAAAATACAATTGTGAAGGAGACACCGCAATCTCGGAATATATATCACACTTCATTGGGCAATTTTAAAGGGAAAATAAATCTTACATCCTGACACTGTGGTTTCTCCTTCATAATCAGATTTGTTGGATGTAGGATCTTTTATTTTTAAATATTTCCTGAGACTGGTGTGGATTTTTCTTTGATCCTTGTAACTGGGGGATGATAGAAGTAGCATCCCTAATTTTCCTCTCCCTCTGGAGAGTACATTTTGTGTAAGTAATTTTACCCCATACAATTTTTCACAGGATGTGGCTGGATGTGTAGCTGTCCAAGTGGCCAACCTTTGTGTGTGGATTGTGGACCCTTCTATTCTGATGCCAGCTGAGATTCGTACCCTCAGTGTTGGTCATTTGTAATGCCGTAACCGGATCGGTAAGTGTTTCGCTTACCGATCTTCACATTGCAGTGTTTTTTTAAACAGCTGATCGGCGGGTCCAAAATGGCCACCGGATGCCCAAAATGGCTGCCGCAACCATTTTCGCGCCCTGCCTTCGCTTACCGAGGGCGCAAAAATGGCGGCGCTATGGAGGAACTTCGCTGAACGGTGAGTTTGGGGCCCCATAGGAATGCATTAAACGAAGTTTAATGCGTTCCTATGGGGTTTTTTGATCCGTTTAGCAATGTTTTTGCATAGCGACAATTAATCCGGAATGGATTAACATTGCTATGCGGGGCACCACTGTATAAGGTAACATGATTTTCACAGGATGTGGCTGGATGTGTAGCTGGCCAAGTGTCCAACCTTTGTGTAGATTGTGGACCCTTCTATTCTGATGCCAGTTGAGATTCATACCCTCAGTGTTGATCATTTGTAATGCCGTAACCATTTTGCCAACCACATCAGCGCAACAAGGCCCTTTGCTTGTAGAGATCATTTTGAAGATACAGTGAGTGGGACCACGGGAGCATTAGCAGCTGTTTTCACTGTGCCCAAGCTGCGTGTTCCAGCAGTAGATTACTTTCTGTGTCATACAAACAGATATTGTCCACGCTTCTTCCACTCAGTTTTAAGTGTGTGGATTGGCCTTCTTTTGGACTATGAAAGGCTTTGCAGCTTAGTGTGCCCTACCTCTTTAGGCATCTGTTCAGCATGAATCAGTTTTGTGTCTGTTGAGAATGCTGACAAGCCCTAACCACAGTGCTGTGTGTGGTAGGAAGGCTTTCATATGCATTTTATTTCCTCTTTTTCCTCCCCCTCCCCTGTCTGTGAGTCCCCCCCCTGCAACAAAAACAATTAAAGCCGATTGTCTGCACTTCCTCCCTCTTAAAGACCCCACCACAAGCAAAATGTTAATCCTAAACATACTGACATTGAAAATTCTTCTCTTGTCTCAAAGCAGTAGAGAACAAGGAGGACTTTACAAAGTGGAGGGGCTGGGATTCAATATGATGAAAACATGATACATCTGCAAGTCTAGATTTAACCCCTTACTGGTTTTACATCAGATAAAGAACACCCTGTAACTTTTTCAGTTAGACCATTTGTTGAAGCTGGGTAGGTGGGACTCGTTAGCCCTGGAAGGCAGCCCATCTAGGAGAAGGAAAATTCTGACTTAAAAACTCCACTGCCTTGTGGCTATATCCACCGATGGAAAAGGCTTCAGAAGTTAACCTCGAGGAAAAATTTGGAACCGGAGTCCCGGAGGCAGTTCGTGTCGTTCTGGCAACTCCTGTGACATCGCTGGAACCAGTTATATTGGCTCTTGCCTTTCCATTGAACTATTTCAGTGATGTGGAGAGGGGGGATTTGCTGCTTGGGTAACAGCCTATCCTCCATATTATTTTACCCAGGCTTCGTGCTCTGGAGAGGACACTACGGCTTCACATACAGCGTCAAAGTCCTCCATACAGAGCATGTTACCATAGTCTCTCAAGACTGAAGGATGCCTATGATTTGTTGAAGACGGCATTTTCTGCTCCTGAGTGGGATGCTTAAGGAACATATATCTTTTTTTTTTCATTGCTAGCAGTTTATTACCTGAAGGGAATGGTTACTTTTACTCTAGTCCTTAAAGTTTTTGTTCTTGTTTTTTTTTTTTGGCTGAAGTTCTTCTCCGAGTGGTCCTAATGACAAGAAGTGATTAGCCATAGGAATTGGATGTTTTCATTAGCAGTGCCCTGAATACAGAATAGCCTTCTCAGAGAGGTTTCACAGATGCCATCTTTATTATCTTTTTGGCACAAAGTGAGGTTTGAATAAGGCATTGACCAAAATCCTCTTGTGTAAAGTTACTCCCATATAAGCTGATGACATCATCAGCTGTGGGCTTTTACTGCTCAATAAATTTTTTCCTATTCCATCCCCTTGGGTTTTGAGGCTCCTTCTGGGTTCCTTTTGACCTGCGCAAGCTTTTGGAAGTATTGGGCAGGAGCAGGGAAGCCTTTAATGCGTGAAAATCACTGCCAGTGGTCCTGTCCCTAAGCAGAGGGATGGTTGGCAGCAATTTCCAGATATTGAAGGGTTTGCGGCCACATCCACCCACCCTACTATTGTAAGACTCCCAGAGGCTTCTCGTCAAAAGAGATTCTGAGGGAGCCTCAGAACCCAGGGGGAATGGAATAGAAAACTTATAATGAATGGTTAAAGCTCACTGTTGATGATGCCATCAGCTTATATGAGTGTAATTTTGCATAAAAGGATTTTGGTCAATGTGTACGAGTTCTAGTAATGAGTTGTTTCAGTTTCTATTGTGTTATGCTGCATTTTGACAGATTATCTCTTCTGAGATGCCCAGGTAACTTCTATTATGGAACACCTTTGTAAACACAGGAAAAATGATGTTCTTTTATATTGTTTATACCTTGACCTTCCTCTGTGGATGTAAAGGTGGTATACTTGGTTTCCCACCCACCTTCTTGTCCACACACACTTTTTGTGAGGTAGGATGGACTGAGAGGTTGTGATAGGCCTCGGACCACCCAGTGAGTTCATTTTTTAGCACAAGCCTCCTCGTCCCACACCAGACTGGTTTTCTGTACCCAAATCTCTTTGCTCACAACTGGCCCTCTTCTCAACCAAAGAGCTTTACAGTAATAGCTGAGATAATGATTGGCCGCACGCCAATCTGTAGGGGCAACTCCTCTCTGGGTGTCAAAATGTCTTGATCATCTCTGAAAGCACCTTCATGCCCCAACTCATATCTGGAGCTGGTGAGGAAGGTGAGGCAGAAAGAAGAATGATCAGATTTTGGACTTGGGAGTCAAGAAACATGGAATATCGTGGTCACAGTAATGCATAACCTCATACGTTAGGCGATGTCCTGTTAAGGGAAGTGAATAATCTAATAAAGTAGAAACTTTGCTTTCTTTTGTAAAATGCTTTCAGTAAATATTTTGCTGAGTGGTATTAAAATGGCAGGGTGGCCCATGTTAACTTTCCAGAAAACGTCAGAGTAGGACTATATGACAGTGCTTCCGAGTCTCCTCATGGAGGCAGTAAAGGAGCATATTTTTGTTATTTGGAATAAATGCAGACCATGTGGCTCATAGAGGCAGCCACCCACAACCCTTGTTGGCTCTGTTTAATTCAGAAACATGCATATCATTTAACGTTTTGACTTGCAAGACTAATGCTGTACTTTCAGCATAGAGAAGTTTTGTTTCTTCTGAAATCCTGAATAAATTGCTTAAATAGCTCCATCTTGACCTTAAAGGGATTCCCATTAATAATAATAATAATAATCTGTCTTCACTAGGAGAAATCCTTCTCATGTCATCTCTGTTTCAGATAGTGGATCTTCTAATTCAGTAGCACCGTCAGTAAGATCTTATAGAAGCATTTGGTGCATGTTCACTCAGAAGTGGAAATGGAAAATGGGCACTTCATACTTCTTTCCACCAAGGATGAGAGTTTGAAATCTGCCTTTGAGCACAGATAGAATGGCAAAGGGTGGATTTGCTGTGGCAGCCAGTAAAATAAGTGTCAAAACAGGACGACCCACAGTATACAAATGATATTTCCACTTTCCCAACTTTTGCCACTGTTTATTTTTTATACCTATAAGAAATGCCTGAAGTAGCTTACTCAGATTTTTGGACATCATCCTGTCTATATACCAGTTAGATCTCCATTTACTCAGTGTTTGTTTACACCTTAAGGTATGTCCAGATCATTTATTGGTCCCAGTTCTTGGAATAAGGAAGATAGTCCCGTCCCGGCCCCTGTAACAGTGAAACATATTGCACATTGCACCATTGGTCCCAGTTCTTGGAATAAGGAAGACAGTCCCCTGTGAAACATATTGCACATTGCAGATCCAGGCCTTTTTGAACTTGCGGGCACATTGTGAAGATGGTGTTGGTGCCATTACAAAACAACTGCCAGGTTGAGTGTGGTTAGACACAACACACTTACATCAGAGAAAAGAAAATTTGAGAGACAAGTGACTTTAACCCACAGTTTCCTGCTTTGGCAGAATACCAGCTTCACAGAAAATAGATTGATTTGGTTGTGTATCATATGTGCTGTCAAGGAGATTCCAGTTCATGGTGTGACCCTTTCCAAGGTTTTATGTGCATACTCAAAAGTGGTTTACTAATCCCTTCTTCTGGCGTGTTTGGTCTTGTGTGAAAGTGACCCTTTCCAAGGTTTTATGTGCATACCATACTCAAAAGGGGTTTGCTAATCCCTTCTTCTGGTGTGTTTGGTCTTGTGTGGAAGCAC